AACTGTGTGAAGAAATAGTGGTAAAAAAGGCATCCAGACGTTGGCGCAGTGACATGTTGCGCACAGGCCTATCCTTGCGCAGTTTCAGGCCAGCAAACGCACAAACATGCGTCACGTGCTGCGTAGTTGTGCTAACGAGGTCAAATAAGTTCCTATGGCTAGGGAATAGGATGTAGTAGGGAACTGTGTGAAGAAATAGTGGTAAAAAAGGCATCCAGACGTTGGCGCAGTGACATGTTGCGCACAGGCCTATCGTTGCGCAGTTTCAGGCCAGCAAACGCACAAACATGCGTCACGTGCTGCGTAGTTGTGCTAACGAGGTCAAATAAGTTCCTATGGCTAGGGAATAGGATGTAGTAGGGAACTGTGTGAAGAAATAGTGGTAAAAAAGGCATCCTGACGTTGGCGCAGTGACATGTTGCGCACAGGCCTATCCTTGCGCAGTTTCAGGCCAGCAAACGCACAAACATGCGTCACGTGCTGCGTAGTTGTGCTAACGAGGTCAAATAAGTTCCTATGGCTAGGGAATAGGATGTAGTAGGGAACTGTGTGAAGAAATAGTGGTAAAAAAGGCATCCAGACGTTGGCGCAGTGACATGTTGCGCACAGGCCTATCCTTGCGCAGTTTCAGGCCAGCAAACGTACAAACATGCGTCACGTGCTGTGTAGTTGTGCTAACGAGGTCAAATAAGTTCCTATGGCTAGTAAATAGGATGTAGTAGGGAGCTGTGTGAAGAAATAGTGGTAAAAAAGGCATCCAGACGTTGGCGCAGTGACATGTTGCGCACAGGCCTATCCTTGCACATTTTCAGGCCAGCAAACGCACAAACATGCGTCACGTGCTGCGTAGTTGTGCTAACGAGGTCAAGTAAGTTCCCATGGCTAGGTAAAAGGATGTAGTAGAGAAATTTGTGAAGAAATAGTGGTAAAAAAGGCATCTTGACGTTGGCGCAGTGACATGTTGCGCACAGGCCTATCGTTGCGCAGTTTCAGGCCAGCAAACGCACAAACATGCGTCACGTGCTGCGTAGTTGTGCTAACGAGGTCAAATAAGTTCCTATGGCTAGGGAATAGGATGTAGTAGGGAACTGTGTGAAGAAATAGTGGTAAAAAAGGCATCTTGACGTTGGCGCAGTGACATGTTGCGCACAGGCCTATCGTTGCGCAGTTTCAGGCCAGCAAACGCACAAACATGCGTCACGTGCTGCGTAGTTGTGCTAACGAGGTCAAATAAGTTCCTATGGCTAGGGAATAGGATGTAGTAGGGAGCTGTGTGAAGAAATAGTGGTAAAAAAGGCATCCAGACGTTGGCGCAGTGACATGTTGCGCACAGGCCTATCCTTGCGCAGTTTCAGGCCAGCAAACACACAAACATGCGTCACGTGCTGCGTAGTTGTGCTAACGAGGTCAAATCAGTTCCTATGCGACACTCTTTTCTCTCGCTAAGCAGATACACGATTTTGGAGCCTGTTACTTCATGAAACAGTACTTATATCAGTGTACAATAGATACAAATATGCAACACACGGCAATCAAAACAGAAAATGGTTGAGGAACCATGTCTGGCCTGCCGACTCAAGCTGCACAAATTGGACAGCTCTAAGGATGGAAGCTGTCTCTACAACCATGTACCTTTGAGAAACCCCCTCTAAACTGAATTGTCTGCAGCCGGTCAATTCATCTAACGCGTCATGTTCGATATAATACCTCACGAATGCGAATTCGCGTCGATCTAGACCATGGCCGACATGGAATAGTAGGAGAACCTTGCCGTACCACTCTGATCCTGTACCTTGAATTGCAACATCACTGAACCAAACTTTATTGTGGAATAGCGGAACCGCTCGGATACGGTGTGGGGTGCTAGAGAAAGCCTCGTCCGTCGCGGGAGGCATGGCCAACTCAACATGAACCTGTACAGCAGTTGCGTGCCACATATTGTATCATTAGTAAAAGCATAACATAATTGTTGCAAGGCGTTAAGCAAGCAAAAGCATGCTTAGGGTAACGTACGTAAATTGTGTCGATGTTCGAGCCGTTGGTTACGTCGCGATCGATGGAACGACGAAGATATGGGAGGTCGTGATGTAGACTGTCCAGATACAAACGGTCTTGCTTTGGGTCAGCCTTGGAGAATCCGACGTATGGGTGCTCACGACGTCTTGCGTGAACGATCAACCCCCATGAACTCTTAGAGAGTGTACGTGCTCCCGTCCTCAAAGCCTGTACACAGTTTATAAAAAAAATCAGGATGGTACCATCGTTCACGCAAAAAGTAAGGCTTGCTTGTCACTGTAATATATACGTACCTCACGCATTGCATTACTGTATTCGTGTGTAGTGTCCAAGTCGGCTTGAGGTAGCGAATCCAGTTGCAAGCGGACCTCCTCCGCTTGGATGATTTGCCCCCCAGCGTCACGCTTGTTGGATGCACGGTAGGGCCTCTTAATATGGTCCTTGTGAAAGTGCTCAAACATGCTTGCAACATAGTGGAGTGGAGGGCCTGCACGGCGAATTGCGTCGATGTAGTGACTCATCAAGTGGGTCTTGATAAATCGCCATTTGTAGAGAGGGAAGCTCCTTTTTAGAAGCTCAATTAACCTGCAAATACAATCACACAAGTCATAGTCAGGTCAAAGGGCATACTACAATGATATACATGCAACATGTGGGGCGTACGTACCTTTTGGATTGTTCCTCGAGTTTTGTCAAGGTTTCCTCGTCATAGTCTCTCGTCTTCCCACACGTGTGATACCACTCGATGTATGCCACAACAGCAAAAAAAAAAACAAAGCATGAGTGATTTGCATCAATATTATACCCCCCTGGTTGAGGTGATGTGAAGCGCGTGAACACATAGTTGTCGTGAGATGTGCTGAGATTCAGGTTCAATTCGAAGGGGTGTGCATTAGGGCGCGTCATTCTAGTATCATTCTCAATCGATACCCATCGTAACCGAATTAGTTGTTTATTAAAGCGTTTAAAATCGTGCAGCGTCGTATTGCACCGCATTCCCCCCGAAGAAAAAAGGACGCGCACTAACGAGCCGCGCATTTCACTCACGCATTTCAAATCGCATCGCGAATTTTACACTTCGCGAATTTTGAACTTCGAGTGACGTTGCGACATTCCCGTTAGCCAATACGGTCGTTGCGAAATATTGGCCAGCGAAAAAGTGCTGTTTGGAGAACCGGATTTGACGCGACCAATAGGAAGAAACCACGCACTTCCTTCAAATATTACAGTGCGTTTTGACTTCGTATGACCAAGGCGTCACGAGATTTCAAGAACCATGACACACACCTGCTTGCTTACGTCTCTAGAAACGGCTGTTTATGACCACGTTCTTGCAAACACCAGACACGTGCGTTACAAAATCTTCCCTCACGAAAAAAATGCCACGTTTCCTGCTTGCAAACACTGGGGTTTCCCCCAAAAATTGTATAGTCATTGACTAGTTCCGATTACAACGACAACATTACGCCAAATCGAAATCGATCTCGACCGCACGAAAAAAAGTTGGAGTTTGGGCCATTGATGTGAAATGTCAAGGAGCGAGACACGATATCCTACACTGCCACGGCTGATTCCCTGCCAAACACAAGTGAAAAACAGGCAAAACACAACCAAAAACGAGCATTTGCCACATCAGCCTGTGGATAGAAGTTTACACCCCCTCCCCAAAGCCTGTGATATTCGAAATATCGCCACCACCGTTAACAGACGGTTCAGCATTTTTGAGATGTGTGAGCCAACGGTCACCGTTACTACTAATGTTGGAGTCCACGACCATCATAATCATCATGAAGCGCACAGCATCCTGCGTGGTATTCCTTCTCGGTAAGCACCAGAGTATTCCTTACTTGGTCACGTGGGTACGTTACTTCAAGTCGAAGTTAAGTTCAAAGAGTCTCTACTTCTTGTCACCAGTCACCCGCAATAGTTTCGCAGTGTTTCGTGCCAACGGTCGCCTCTCGTATTTTCTCTTGCCTTTCCTCACCCGCAGCGGTTGCGATGCTCTCTGTCGAGTATGCGGCATCACTCCGAGTCGTGCCGTGTGACAACGCGACTGCCGCATCTGTCTCTTCAGCCAGGCCCCTCGTCTCGAGCAGGAGAACATGGAGTAAGTGTTTAAAACGCTCTCCTTCAGTTGTTAGTAAACTACCAGCAGCAGAGGGTGAACTTCGCAAACTCACAAACAGATTGATGGGTTGCATATTTGTTGAAGCATGACGTGTGAATCTCCACCTGTAACTATATGGGTCCTGTACTACTTGTAGTTTGTAACCACACTTCTTCTCTGCGCCCTCCCATTGTCAGTCAAATACAGCGCAAAGTTACGCCCTGCCAAGTACCGCGGAAATCCCGACAAAGGTGCATCGGGGATATACCTCTTTAAGGGAGTGAGGTAAGTCCTTCAAATAGTTTCATTGTTTACTACCTTGCTGCGAGACACAGGGTGTCCTTCTCTTTGCACTCTTGTTATATTTGCCAGATACTACGGTACGAAGTCACCTCCCCATCGCGAAAAAGGAAAGCTGCATTTTTTGGCCCTCGAAGGTTTTTCTGCGTCGGCCTTGCGAGAATGTTGCGGAAAGCTGCGTGAAAACAACACACTCAAATCGCAACATTCCGCACACCAAGAACGTGCGCGTGCATCATCTGCAAAATACTGACTATGCAGTAACAATACCGCAAAGCTATCGAAAACCCGAATCGCACACCTACACCCCGAGTCGCATTCGCCCTCTCGAATTTCTCGAACCAATGTCCGCGTTATGGTAAGTGCGGTTCGTCCATTCTGTCACTGTATAACATCTGAACGCAAACTAAGTTGACGCTTACACACAAATGCCAAACATGGTTTGACAACTCCATTCAAACTTTACTCGCAACACAACCACTATTACATCAACCAGACAACCCCAACCCCGTCAACCAGTCGTACGGTACCGCACACACACAACTCCCACTACTTAGCCCCACAACAAACAACTGCATCACTCGTCGTCCTCACTCTCGCGCACCGCTGGGTCTGCCATGTCCTCAGTGCGCAGCCCCGCGCGCGCACGCTTGACTGGCGTCCTGCCGAGGCGGGAAATAACCTCCTGGTTAGATGCTCCGACCTCTGCTGGCACTAGGGCCGGGGGAATGCCGAGCTCATCGGCACGCTCCACGTACGCGTTTGTGACGTTGCGAATCACGCGCCGCCTGCTGCGCTCGTCACGCAGTAAGGGGCCATCTGGCAGGCTCATCTCGCCCGACGAGTCATCCGACGCGCTGGCAGCAGGTGTGGCTCTGAACCCCTGCTCCACGCAGAGTCCCGCGTCGCAGTTGACGAACTCCGCCGCCGTCATATAGCACGCAAGCTTCATCTTGAACTTCTCGATGAGCAACTGCAGCTCGACGCATGTCGCAATGAGGGGCTCAAACATGCCCGTTGCGCACGTGTCGTTCAGGTACGCCATCAGTGGCGGCCAGCTCGGGGGCACGCATCCGGCGCGCCACCAGCTCCTCTGCATGGTTGCTGCGCGCACACGAGTCCACGATTCTCCCAGCCACTCGAGCATGAGGCCATAATCCACGTCAGCGATGGAAGCCGAATAGTCGAACTGGAACCGCTTCGCCGCTATCGCACGCTTCATCAGCATAACGCGGTAATGGCCCTTCAGCACATCCTCCACTCCCTGCAGGTGCGGAAGGCCCCCTTCAGGAACCGACCCTCGTATGTTGACGATTCGGGTGTTGGTGAGGTGCTGCACGCTGAAGCCGTGCTCCGTGACGGGTCGCGCGACCTCGCCGGTGATGCGATGCGCCTCGTGTATGGTTAGGATGAGGGTGTTGCGATCACGGCTGAAGTGCACGCCATTGACAGTCTCCACGAACTCCGTGAACACCTGTGTGCAGAACACCCGACACCGATAGCACAACTCCATCATAATAGCGGTATGCACACATATGCTGCACACGTCAAACCAACGTTATGCACACTGAGTATACATGGTTACGTACCTCCGGCGTCAACCGGCCGCGGTGCGTATACCGGACGGCCACCTGGCGCGATGCCGCCCTCCCCCGCCTGCGCTCGGGCCTATCGTACGGCGATAGAACCACCAGAGGCACCGCGGAACAACTCCCCGTCGCGTTGTAAAGAATGCCGACGCTGACAATCCGCTCCGCCCCATTGCGCTTATCCGGAATGTATGTCTTTGGAAGCCGGCTCGGAAGAAAATTAATCTCGTGGAAGCAGAACACGTCGTCCGGGTGCGCGGTGGCCAGCAGTCCCTTCAGGTCACCCATTGTAGCACTCTGTCACCCAGGTTGGCAAGTATGCATAGAAGGCCGGATGACCCCGTACTATATATGTTTCCCTCTACCGGAACATACCCCCATGTTGCTCCTGTACGCACACTACGTACAGTGGTTGACATGCGCCACACAACCAACCTAACACTACCCCTGCGCCGCTCAAAGATAACGCACACATGTGAAACGCCCACCTGTTACGTTCAGATAGGCCATTTCGCACCCTCTACGCCACGTACGCGTCACCCATATCCGCCCAGCCAACGGCCCGTTCTCGGTCGTTCACACCACCACACATTGAATTGCGTCAACCTCGACCGCACAAACGTCAACAGTACCAGTACCCGTTATGGACCTGATATGCCAACTACTACCACCATTATCATTTTGTTCAAACACCAACATCTACACTTCGCTGAGAACATCTGTGCGCCATACTCATGCTTTAAATGGCCATAATACTGACATGGACATGAGTGCACATTTTATCATCCGTGTCCATGGCATTTCACCAACGGCAACACTCCATACCTACAAACCCAACACTTCCGAACACAATATCGTACACCTACTGCAATCCTCTACCCATCAATCCTGCCTTCTACACACCTAAAACGTATCACGTAATGTTTGCCAACGCGTGGATCAGCACTGCCGTTCCACCCAACCAACATTCATCGTCACTCACATAGTAAAAACCTGTTCACTAATTGCACCTTATTGTTACTGTACGAAGGGCACACGTGCACAACTCTCTGCAGGCTCCTCAACTCCACCACCGAGTACCTCACCTTCTCCACTTTCTTGTGCAGCTGCTGGCACCCTGTAAGTTTGCATGTTCCCGCCCCCTCATAGTACCTCACATATGCGTACCCCTTCCACTCCCCATCAAGGTCAACCGCCCTGAAGATGCACAAACATCTTGCATACCAGTCCCCCTTCTTGTTGTTCAGCAGTGCCACGTCCGAATACCACCTCTCTCGAGGAGAAGCCTTCACAAATGTCCCTTTGGCCACCAGCTCTCCTCCTCTTGTGCGCGGAATGGCCACCGCCGTGTGCACCTGTCAGACCAGAGTACCCAATCCAACATCACAGAACATCATGAGTGCAGTGACAACCAACATGTCAAACCCGGATACGTTACCAACCGCTACAACATAATCACCTCACCTGCACGTTGTTGGTAGCCAGACCCAACGCCTTGAACTCATCTGACATCCCCTTCATCTCGTCTCCCAGCGCGACGATGTACTCATTGTACACCGGATCCGTCACTCCGCCTATGCGCATGGTCCGATACCTCTTTGTAAGCACGGGTTTCCTCGTCTTGATTGCCTGCACGTCACGCTCGCATTCCCACAGCAAACCGCACACTGTTTGAGGCACGATTCGTCCATGGTAAACCGCACTAAAGGACTACTCTCAATGCCCAGCATGGTACCACATGCACCCTTACGCACCTCGCGCAAAGCGGACGCGTACTGTCGCCCACCCCCCGCGTCTGCCGCCACCTCACGGTACACCTCTCGCTGCACCTCCTCCTCCACAATGCGTCGTGGGTTGTCGCTCCAGTTGCTCCCTCTTACTGGACCCTTAACCGTGCCCTTGTGCGTGCGCTCCCACATTTCAGTGGAATAGTGGTGCGGCATCCCACGGTGCACAACGTTGTCCAGTAAATGCCTGATCATGTGTATCTTTGGGAGTCTCCAGTGGGACGCCTGCGTTGGAAATGCTCTCGGTAGCAACTCCACCAACCTGCCAACGCGTCCACGATAACACACACCACGCGATACATCATCGTGTGTTACACCACATTGGCCGCACAAACAATTAGCATACGCTCTCATTCCCCCCTCCAAACACCCGAAATATGCATATATGTACTCACGCTATCGCATGCTGACGGGCAATCGCAATTGTTGTGTGAGTGTGCCTGTCCACCCCCAGAAAGGCCTTGTAAAACACGGCAAACAGCCTGAACGCTTTGACCTGCAAAGCACGCAGCTCTCCCTCTTTTCCACCCTTCAGCGCACTCTCGTCAGCCACCAATATCGGCATTATCTGCATCATGCTCCTGTGCTCGAACGCCGCGTAGTTTGCGCCGGAACTGAAGAACGATGAGCCCCCTGGGATTCGGAGGAGAACGCTAGGCGTGATTCCCTTGAACTCCTTCTTGCGGCTGCGCACATACATGGTTCCAGGTGGTCATCTGGTGGCACACAGGCTGTGCTACTACCCAACTAACCCACCCATGGTAGAGCATGTCCCGCTGGCACACCCAACCACACCAAGCTTACCGTTCAAGCAGCCTCATCTCAACCTTTCCAAGCGGTTCGATGTAGGTGTCCATTATGTGGATCAGCACACCGGAGTCCAGCACATGCAGTGTGTCTGCCAGGCATGCCAGGTACACGTTGCCCCACTCTGTGTCTGCGAAATTCCACCTGTGAAGCACACACTGCATGGTCCAACCGAAGACACAATGCTGTTAAAGAGTCCACCGCGTATTACAAGCCAGCAAACTACCCATCGGCTAACACACCTCGATCGGATGGGTTGACCATAACTTCCGCAGTTCGTCAGCCTCCCCTTTCTTCTTACACTCCAGTATCTGGCGGACAATGTCCCTCTGCTTCTCTGGGGTACGTGGATCGGCCTTCCCCACCATCATGGTCAACTCCCCCTTGTCTGCATAGCAGTTAGCGCATGGCCGATGTGACCCTTGCTGAAGAGTCGCAGATGCTCTGCTGGATTCCGGGAAGTCGGCAGGGTATCCGTATAGGCAAGGGACCGCCTTGTGCACCTTCCCGTCCGCATATGTGCAGTAGAAGAAGCGAACTGGAGCGCTGCACAGTGTAGTGATGCACACATGGTATGCAGCTAGTCGATGGAACATGTACATTACTCAACCCACATTGCCTACTTGCTGGGGTGCCCCCCAGCCCCTTGCAATCGTAGCGTACTCCTCCCCACCCCCCTCCCCTCCAAGTACCTTGCAGACTCTCGCATGATGGGCGCGAGGATGATCTTTAGTGCCTCTTGGAAAACGCGCGTCTTCTCCGTAGGCGATGCCCACTCAGGTGGGAATGGAAGCACCGCCGCCAATGTGTGCCCAGGCTCCACTCCACGCAATTCCTCTGGTATGTTAATAAGTGAAATGAGCACCGGCCACGCGTTCCTCCGTCCATTCCGTGATGCCTGCGTGCTATCACTGTATATCAGCACGCCTAGAATGAGTGCCTCTTCGTGATTAATCTCCTTCTGCCATGTAGAACGCACTGAATAGTGAGATGTGGTTATTCGAATGCATCTAGCATGTTCTGCTGCACACATGAAATAGGGACAGGCTGACCGATTCTCGTACCTGAGCAGAGTGCATCCAATCACCCGTCTCAGGGCCTTCAAAAACCCTCTCGTTATTCTTCTTCCGATGAATCTTCCTTGGTTTCCAAACGAACCCCTTCTTCGATGAGAACGTTCGCACCAGCTTCTTCAAAATCTGCGGGCATCGCATTAGAATCAGGTGTGAGCGCGTGTATTCCATGGAAATGCATACGGCCGACACTACATTACGACATCGCTAGCTGCGTTGGCCTCCCATTACGAACCAGCTCTGTGTCGCGGAAGTGCAAAAGCAGCTTCATTTGCATTCCTTTGGGGCCCCGCACCACTATCTCCTCCGTTTTCCACGGGACCATGTCGGCTGGAGCTCGCGCCATGCCCCAGCGTCGCACGTCCACCCAGTTGCGCCATCGTCTGAATGCCCGTAGGTTGAAGCGCGGGTTGCGGAAAATGTGCAGCAGACGGTTCACTTCCCTGTGCGAAAGATCGGCGTCACGGAAGAATAGGTACAACTCCGTCAGTGTATCGAAGATCTCCTTCCTTTCGCTGTCTTCAGAGGACTCGGCAGGTTCGCCGTCAGGTCGTGTATCCGCGTCTCCAACAAGGCTAACTTCGGGGATCGAAGCTGTTGGAGCAGCAGAAACAAAACTGCCATCGTTATTTTTAAGCCGGGATGCCGGTGGTGTGTTAGGTCTACTCTCTCCGTCACATGCAATGGCTTCCAAATATGCCGCCCACAAAAGACTCTCTCGTTTCCTCTTCAACTCCTCGCGACAAATTGCCCCATTAGCGACATGCAACTGTAACCTGCTGTCGTCCTTAAACACCGTCTCGCACACCATGCAACTGTTCCCCGTCATCCTAGAGCTAAGAAACCCTAGCTGGGCCAGTAGTAGGACCACTGCTGAGTACCTCAGGTACACTCTAATACAACTCCGAGGACAAACTTCTCGAACACACATGTGCAGGAAACCGTAGACCGTGTGCACAAAATAGCGGATCTTGTGTTACAATTAATGAAAGTACACCCAAGTGTTAATTTGGGGTATGAAATTGTACATTTCAACTGATAACTCTTTGACACATAATGACGCGACATGTTGCGCGATTATTACGGATCTCGCGGACCCTGATGTGCTGATATGAACTTTTTCGTGCACTCGGCAGGCTGCTTAGCATCAGAAAGCCAAAGCTCCGTGATGGGAAGACATGGGCCGCTATGGACTGCAAGGCTTACACACAGACGAATGACTATGGAGCGCCGGTAACACTGGGAAACGGGCGGCCACTTCTGGATCACGATTATCTAGCGATCTCGGTGCTCGAGTCGTGAGTATCGTGCATAAAGTGCTTGTGAGTGGTTTCTGTTGTGAGCCGGGGTGTACTGTCTAACAACTAATCCGTTTAACCCCCCTCATGTTGAGCGCAGTGAACACTATTCCCTCGTCATCGCTATAGGTCCATCGGTGCTCACCAAGTCATCGAAATCTACGGGCAAGGAGCGCATGACGTTGGTCTTGCTGGACAGTTCCATCAAGAATCGGAATACCCGCAAGATTTTTGCAGGAACCAAGCTGTGAGTCATGGTTTTAATGACAATGTCTCCAGTTGTCGTACATGGTCGGTATTTAAAAACGCCTCTGGCCTCTTGCGTGCAGCGTGCTGTCCGAACTCGCCAAGGCGAGTAACCCAAACGCGAACATGGAGTTTGTGGACAAGATGCTGACAGAGGCGGACTGCATCATTCTACGGGTGAGCATGCAACCGGACTCTGTGGATACCAATGTGCAGTAAGCGCCCGCAAGTATACTGATTTCTAACTCGCATATGCGGTCCCGTATTTGCAGGAGGATAAGCTGCCACAACAGCCTAACAAGGAGGACTGTGGGATTTTTGTTTGTCAGTACCTCAAGACCCTGGTGAATACCGACTTCACCACGGTTTTGAACGGCCTCTGGTTCCAGGGTGTGACACCGCACCAATACAGGCGGGAGATGCGGCGCGACTTGTGTGCACACGCGTGCGGAGATCTTATTAAACAGCTGGAGGACCTGGGGATTGAAATCCCCCCGCAGGACGAAGGCCGGGTTACCGATGAGGGGGCAGTGGTGCAGGAGAGGAACGCTGCTATGGGAGAGGGGAGGCAAGCTCCGGTCACTCGCCCTGTGGAGGACGCACGGGTTACGGAGATGATGAGGCGACTGGCGACGTTGAATAACGATGTGAGGTACCTGGACGCCAGCTTCACCGTACTCGCCAACTTTGTAGGGCTGAGGCGGGACGAGGTGGTGACAGCTGCAACCCAACTACTGCTGCATGGGGGTCGCGCGGGGACCGGCGCGAAAGCAGAGGCGGGTGGCACCAAGAATGCTCCACGCACTCCACAGCGTCCGTCTGCACGTAAGAGGCGGGATGACAGCAGTCCTGAGGAGGATGGCGTGCGCAATGCCACCCGGGTTGCGCTGGCCTCCACGTTCGCTGCATGTGAGCCGACATCGACCTTGCTGCAGAACCCGCACCTTGCGCATGGGACCATACCTCACTGGATGTTCACGCGCGGGATGCACCTGCTCGGGGCGGGTGTGCCAGCTGGAGCTGACATGTGGGGAGACACGCGAGGGAAGGAGACGGTGAAGGCCGCAGAGGAGGAGGATCTCGTGTCAGACACAGACGACGAGGAGGATGATGACGAAGCGTGTGCCTCCAGATACACGGGTGTGAAGTTGGATAAAGCATCCGGCAAGTACGGCGTGAAGATCCTGATTAAGGAAGGTGGAAAGCGTAAGCAGCAGCGGCTGGGAGCGTACACCACGGAGGAAGAGGGGGCGTTCGCGTACGCCACAGGTGCGTTCGTGCTGAGGCCACGTGACAAGATACCCAACACAGTCAGCCTGTCAGCCGCAGAGAAGGCGATGCTGCGTGGTTGCACCAAAGAAGATTTGCAGATCCTGGTGGAAGCGCGGAAGTGGTGGAGGTGGAGGAGCTGGCGGGAGGCGCTGGATAGCGTGAGCAGCAAGCTGAAACGTGGCAGGAAGCGTGGGGGTGCCACAGGTACATCAAAGAGGCACAGGGTGGTGGATAGCAACACCATGGCTACCAACGAACCAGAGGTCCCCGACAATGCGGAGAGTGGGGGGACGGCCCCTGTGAGCGAGCAGGGCGGGGGTGCAAAGAACAAAGAGCAGGAAGAGCGAGGGGAAGACACTGGTGCACATGAGAACACGTCAGGCCCTGCTGCATAGTGGATGTATAGACAAAGCATATGGGAGACAGGTCGTGCACGTAGTTGCTTAGTTTTGTATTGCACTTGCTAATGTACAGCGCTTGCTGTAGTGTGCATGTATGCATGTGTAATAAACGTTACGACGTGTGCGTACATGGTGTGACCGACATGTGTTGTAATCCGGTTGTGTAATCGTGCACTTGGTGTGCTATATTACGAAGTTGTGTATGAAATCACTGAATACCGAGAACCGGTTTGCGAGCCTGATGGCAGCACAAACGAGGACTATGGATACGGTTATGTTAACAGGATGTGCGCAGTGTGTGGTTCTGCTGTGCACACATGCATCACTAGGTACGTTGACGTGGTGTCCATCTATTCGTCGTTTCGGATTGCGATCATCCAGATGTGTACGTGGTAGTTTTGCCTACCAAACTCATTGTGTACACGGTGCTCCGGCGTGTTAAGAATTTGGGCCCCCAACTTTGTGTAGAAATATCGTATTGAGCGTCATTGTGAAAGCAACTCACTGCATACTTCCCTTGCGAAAATGGATACCTCAATTGCTTACGACGATACGAGGGGTGGAGGCCGGTCGCGACGTGTCTCACTCCCGCCGGCGTACCTGCGAGCGTCGTACCAGCTGAAGATGCCGCGAGGTCGACTGTCGAACGGGAAACGTGGGGCGACCATTCCTAAGCGCCTGAGCTTAGCCAAGAAGGGAAAGGAGGTGGTGCAGCCGGAGCAAGGTATGCAGCCCGAGCATGTGTGGATGTGTCATGACGTTATTACTGTTTTTTGTCAGCTCTGAACAAACTCGGACCCCAGTGACATGCCATCTGCTAACTTGGGGTGTTGTGCCTTCTGGTGTTTCGCTCACCCACAGATGACGGGACGGGCGCCGAAAGTGCAGATTCGTCCGAGCGCAGCGAGGAGGATGACGAGGAAGGCTCAGACACATCGGCCAGCGCCTCACACGAAGAATCCGCCGACCCTGCTCCGGAGGCGAAGACGAACGATGATGGGTGTGCGGGAACCGCTGCGCCCAATGCTGACACGCGCGCAAGCCAAGGCGCGCGGGACACGGATGTGCCTCGAGGTGACGGCCGAGGACATGCGGACGGACCTGTGGACCGCACATGCGGGAACACGTTGAACCCAAACGGCGATGACGTGCGCATCCCGAGCAGGGTCCTCGAGCAACTTATACAGGCTCAGGACAAGAGCGCCAAGGAGAACGCGCGGTTGGAGGCGCTGTTCTTGAATGCGATGTCTCGGCCTTCCGGTGGCTCTCGTAAGCGTAAGGCGCAGAAGCAGAGAGACCCGGGACAGGGGTGTATGAACCCGAAGCGTCAGCGTGGCGAGACGTGGAGTGGAGGGTCCGACGACGAGGGCGAGGACGACGAGGACGACACGCATGGTTCTGGTGGCCGTCATATGCGTACCGCAAAGTCCCCTATTCTGCAACGCGCGCTGGAGCATTTGCCGACGGACAAGGCGTGGAAGGTGAGCGGGCATGTTTCCGGAGGGGTCTATTGAACCGTCTTCGATTTGGAGTGCACTGATGTGCAGTTGACGCTCATCGGATGACGCTTACTTTGTTCATCGTGTACACCATACGTGCGCAGAGGGTTTGCGAGCTCGCCAGGGTGCACATGTTTCTCAACAGGCCGACATCGACGATGACCTTCTACCCGAGCAACGACGATAAGACTCATGGACTGTGTGCGGTGCTGGACCGCCTGCCGCATAGCTTCGCTTGCTTGGCGTTGGCGGCTGACAAGTCGCGACGCGCGGACCTCAACAAGACGCTCTCTGAGTGGAAGACGCGGGCCGCCGCCCGCGTGCGAGACATTGCACTTCCCAAGCTCGGCTTGTTCCGCGACGACAGGGACGCATCCAGCCCGTGGGCACCAGAGAAGGAGCGTAGTATCGAGAAGATCCGGGAGCGCATTGGGCTTGGCGCTGACCGCCCTGGTGAGTGCCATGAAGACAGCAGGTGGGGTCGCCTACGTGTTGGTATGCTGACAATAAGTGTATGGCGGCCATTGACACTGACTGTGCGCATGTGGTGTGCAGAAACCCTGGTGCTCACGAGCTGGGCGACAGACCGGGACAGCATGCCGTTTGCCTCTCGGGCGTTCGCGACATGCGCGAAGGCTGCATTCAGGCCTAAGAAGGCCGGGCTGGTGATGACTCTGAAGGTGTACCACCTGGCCTGGTTGGAGCATGTGGTGAGTTTGTGCGCTCAATGTGTGCACGGTTTTTGCGTTGTACTGTCGTACCATTTGAGTGACAAGCTGGGTGTTTCCGCAGGTCTCCGACTGCGTCCTCTACTGGGAGGAGAGGAAAGGCCGGCTTTCCAACTCGGCCGGGGGAAACGCCCACGTTGTGGACGGCCTCAAGGTCCTGGTGAAGGAGGCCGTGGAGAGGGCGATCCGGATCCGCAACCCGGAGTATGACGCGGAGCGCGAGGCGTGGACCTGGGGCCGCCATGGACTGCGCATCTCTGCGTGCGGCCTGGAGCACATGAAGCCCACCGCCGCAGCTCAGTCCGAAGACCTCGTGGGGGATAACGACCTTTCGGCGTCAGTTGGTGCTGAGTAGGCCGACTGGCGTGGGGGGCATCATGGATCGTGTTGCGGACCGTTGAGGGGACAGGTGGTGGAGAGGTGTCTCAGGCATCATTATCTCTTCTGGTTGTGGGTCTTGAGTAGCAGTTTAGTGTGCACGAGTTTTTGCATGTGTGTTAATGGAAGTTACGGGGGTTAGTCGTATGCATGGTTGCGTAGTATGTTTGTGTGTGCGTTCCAACGTTAATGTGAGGAGGCTTTATTGGGGTATTGATGCAGATGATAGCACAACACCTACACCACTAGGATGCGGAATGCATCAGCCAGGCCGTCCACCAGGTGTGCGGGATGGCGTGGAACGCGCCGCATGTTGCGGCGCGTTTCACGGAGTGTGCCATATGTCACGTAAATGTGTGGACGTAAGAGTCTTCGCGGTGCGCACGCGTTGACATCTGGTTGGATATTCAACATGGATAAGAGATGACGAGGAACCAATTGCACATTAGTGGCGTACACGGTGGACTACGCGTGTCACCATCCAGTACGGACGCGAAGATGAGGTTGACGGTTGGAAACGCGGTGTGATATGCGCGGAGGGTGAGACAGCTGTACGGTCGTGATTGTGTCGTGCAGATGACGCGAACGAGTGCAACGATGAGATGGTAACTGGTTACTAGATGTGCGAGAACGGGATCGACCGGCAAGTGTACGGGGTAGATCGAATAAGTGTGCGTGACGCGGCAGCTCGGTGGTAGAGACGATGTCCACTGATGGACGACGCAGATGGCGTCGTCACCTAGTAGCGTGTGAAAAACTACTGGGTGGCGAGTAATATGGCGAAGTGTACGAAACGGTGGCGGCGCGACAGGTGTACGGTGATTATGCAATGTAGTGTAGGCTGCGGACGCACGATGCGCAAGTAGAGTGATGCGACGTGGTAGCATGCTAGTGGGTATTGAACGAGTGATTTGCGGTTAGCGCACCTGTGGGTTGGCACCAACTGTCACGTATGTACAGGGTGAGCATCGATCAGATGGACGGTGAAGATACTGGCGCTGTCTGTGCGCTGGCATGTGCGAGTTTATGTACAGGAGACACGTGAACCGTCGCGATTGCGTGACCCGAATGTGCATCCAACGGTTGGGGTGCGGGTACGTTATAAACCCTAAACGCTTACGTGGACGTGCGGGTTGATACTGGATGCCACGTGGGTGGGCGCGTACGGTGTGGCAGATGGGGTTGCTTACTCGTCACTTTTTAATTGGTTGGCATGGTATGGTTGGGTAAACTTTTGTGTGACGCAGCCCATGATTGTTGAGCAACTGCACGGATGCGGGTGTAGTGTCTAATTTGATGCACGCATATGTACAGAATGCATCGGGAAGGTGAACGCGAAGTTACTTTGTAAGTGACTGTGGCCATGCAGTTCTAAAACCTTGACTCAAAAGTGCCGGGCAAAAAATATCGGGAAAGTTTCGGAAGAGTGTATTTCGAGTTGCTTTCCGAGCTTGCCATTTTCGCGATGCCATGCCCATACATACTGACAAAGAGTCTTCGTGTCCTTGGTGGCAGACGATCTGCAACGTGGTACATCCTTGAAACACGAATCAATGTCACGAACATCAAGTCAGGAGGAACGCAGCCCGTCGCACGGATTGCTGACGTCTGTGGTCCTATCGACACAAGTCCGGACGGTTTTTTTTATGAAAACATCACCAGTGTCAAGGCTGGCCACCGCAAGCGCTACAGCTTCACCTACGAGCGCAATGACAACTTTGAAACTTTAAAGGAGGTCTCTAACTGGATTTACGGTTTGCGGCGGGGCAAGTCAATCGCGGTTGTAGGTCATGGGAAATACAATCGAGCACTCTGTGGAAAGTTCAAGAATTGGCGGATGTATAAGTGGTAGGTTTTTGCCATAATTTGGGTGGGTGCAATGTGATGAACTCCCGTGGATAATTTGGCTCATTCCAAAGTTTGCTTGGGGGGCAGTGAACACAACCTCACTAGTCACATTTGAGGTTGAATCTTAAAACCCGCGGGCCACAGTTTTCAACCTTAGGAAGGTTGGTTGGGGAAGGGATAGGCGAATGGTCCGCGAACACAGGAAGTGTCGAAAATAACAAACCATGTTCGCGGACCAGGGCAGCCTCGCCAAGGTTACCCGAGTCCGCGTGTGACCTCAACACCCCCAACCACAACGTCGCCCAAAACCTAATGCGACGTGCGTGAACAACACCACTCAATCCAAGCGTACTTGTCCAACACCCCATCTCCCCTAGATAAGTAAGCCGCGTACCTTGTACTTGTCCGCGTCACTATGTGCAAGTAGCGAAGACCTCTCGTCACTCTGCTAAAGTAGGAAAGCCCAATCGACCAAGCTAAACATTGCAAACTCGTGACAGAGACTGAGAAGTACACAACCGTGCGCGACGCATGTAGCTGCGACATTGGTGCCATCGTCACACTTCTCGGCCTCGTTGTGCAGGTGCGTTGTGACCACGGCGCGAGATCCCTAGCACGCATACTAGGACGGGAATGACCGCGATTGCGGGTTTCCTCTGGCCGCGCGCTTGTGACTAAACGGTACCCCGTTCCACACGCCATAAATCAATGCGCGTCACGCCGCAAATCATACGGGCTGCACGGCGATTCTCCGTTAGCCACACCGCGATGCCGATTTCCTCACATGCCGTCGCCAATATCCAAGCCCCGCGAACCCCGTCTCCTCACTCGGAGATACACAAGGCGCATTTCCTGACTCATTACGCATGAACAACCATTCCCGACTCGATCCCTTTCCCCCACGCCAATCCTCCCTTCGTCGCACGCCAATCCCCCCTTTCAACCCGTCGTAGATCTTCACTTCCCCCTCCCGTCGCCTTCCCTTCCCCCTCCCGTCGCCTTCCCTTCCCCCTCCCGTCGCCTTCCCTTCCCCCTCCCGTCGCCTTCCCTTCCCCCTCCCGTCGCCTTCCCTTCCCCCTCCCGTCACCTTCCCTTCCCCCTCCCGTCGCCTTCACTTCCCCCTCCCGTCGCCTTCCCTTCCCCCTCCCGTCGCCTTCACTTCCCCCTCCCGTCGCTCTTCACTTCCCCCTCCCGTCGTTCTTCACTTCCCCCTCCCGTCGCTCTTCACTTCCCCCTCCCGTCGCTCTTCACTTCCCCCTCCCGTCGCTCTTCACTTCCCCCTCCCGTCGTTCTTCACTTCCCCCTCCCGTCGTTCTTCACTTCCCCCTCCCGTCGTTCTTCACTTCCCCCTCCCGTCGCTCTTCACTTCCCCCTTGTGTAACACCCCGCCCAATCCCGTCCCCACACTGTAATGCCAGCTCCTCACCACTCCCCACCGCATTCTACTCCCCTTCCACGCACTCACAATCCGCCTCGCGGGCTGAAATCGTTACAAGCGGGAATATCACCCTCACACACCGCAGGTCTTTCCGGGTCACTCTGTCTCCCCTCTTCATGCTCTTCCCCCCTGGGAATTCACTTTGTTTCACTGCACGCTTCACCCCCTTCGATGGGGGCCCCTCCAATTACCATCTCTCCCGCTCCCATTCCCTTCAACGACGGGGACCCGCCCCATCCCCCTTCTCCCCAGCGTCCAGTCCCCCACTGCCCCCCGCCCTTTCCTCCACTCCCACACGCCCATTCCCCCACTCCCGTCGTTCTTGCCCTATCCCCCCCTCCTCCAATACTCCTCCCTCCTTCACCCCTTTCCCACACAGTTTTCCTGCCTTTCCCCAACGCCACCCTTACCTTTCCTAACGCACCTCCCTTCCCCGCGATACCACCCTACCACCCTGAATTTCCCCTACCAACACCCTACCAATCCCCCATTCATACCCCCCCCCCCCCTTTCTCCCGCTCCTACCCTCTCTTTCCCCCACTCCACCTCGTCCCTCCCCGCACAGCCTCCGGCCTTTCGGTTACTTCCCCGGTCCAATCCCCCACTTCCCCTACGAATTTTACCCCACCCCCTCAGGGCCACACCGCCTTTTCAACCAGGCATGCCACGCACCTCCCAACGCGCCTCACCCTGCTAACCATGTCAACCTCCCATCCCCCCTGCTACCCCTGTCATCCTCCCATCCCCCCTGCTACCCCTGTCGTCCTCCCATCCCCCCTGCTACCCCTGTCATCCTCCCATCCCCCCTGCTAACCATGTCAACCTCCCATCCCCCCTGCTACCCCTGTCATCCTCCCATCCCCCCTGCTACCCCTGTCATCCTCGGTCCGCGGCGCTGTATCGGAGACGCAGGCGGGAATGAGCAGCGATACCGATGAGGTGGGGGGGGGGGGAATCGCAGGGAGTGGGGGCGGTTGAAGGGGCAGTGAGTGGGTGCGGCGGAATGATTGATAGTGGCCAGTTATGCGGTGAGCGTGAGGAGTGGAGCATATCGCCAGATGCGATGTGTGAGGGGAATTCACGCTCACCTTGCCACCACCGCCTGTGCTCCCTCTCGCAACGAACCCCGCACCCATCACAGGACTTACCAGAGTTGGTACCTGCAGAATATTTCTCCTCGTCCACCTCGCCGCGAACATCTCGACCATTTTCCACAATTGGGGATGTGTGGCGTAGGGGAAGGGTACTTACTCGTATGCTTATAGAGTCGTTCTTAACAATTGTGCGCCGACGTGATGCAGGCGATGGTGCGGCAGGACCGGGGGGACCGGAAGAGGCAATGGGGACAGAGGCAGGGAATTGGGTGGTGACGGAGGGCAGGTGGGGGCGGGGCAGGGGGAGGCCACGTGTTGGGCGGGACAGCCGAGCGAGCGGCGGCTGAGGGAGAGTCGATACCGGGCAGGTATGGGAGCCAAATGTCCCCCAAGCGTGCTCTGTCTATGCTCGGCCACACACCCACGCTCTTCTGGTTCTCTTCCCACGCACGCAGCTTGCTCTTTCCTCCATTGCTCTATCGCACACCGTGCACTATCTGTCCTTTGTTCACTCACACACCTGATGCCATCCGTGTCATGCACTATCTTTCCTCATACGCTGTCCTCTCTATTATTATGTCGATCCTAAACAGCATAATCACCTGGCTCGCATGCCAGAGCCCACAGGTGTGCCACGGGGCTGTTGCATTACCCAAATCATTGACACTCTCCCCACGGTTTCCGATCGCCCTCACCTCTGCCCTTGCTCCACCGTAGATCCAGATGTGCATCACTTCGGAGTCCCCTTGTTCTCCCCGCACCTTGATCTCCCATCGTCACGCTGAGATTTGGGTGGGCCAGCCTGTGATATGAATAGTGGGGTAGAAAAAGCACGTGGTCAGAGGGTGGTGAACGATGGAAGGGGGGTTCGTACAGGAAACACATGTCAACCCCTTCTATCTTCTCTCGTACATGCCAAATGTGTGTGCTTGCCCCTCAACTTCCCCAACATCCTCGTTCACTCTAAGGTTCCCTTCATATAAACGTGGTTAGATGGGGGGAACAAGGCTGGGAAAAGAGCAATAGGTGAAACTACGTGGATGACCTGGGCTGGGTTGGCAATTGGAATGACCATACCTTGCGTTTCTTCATTCGCTGTTGAAAAAACACTCCGCAAACCCATAGGTGACGGGGGCAATCGCACGCGGTGTTCGGGACATGAGATCCCCAGCCCGGCCCACCACGTCCTCACCACCAAACTGCAACTCCTGGCCATGTGCACGGAGACGCTTGCGTGCAATCTCCAGTGCCTCCGGTCCGTCCGTTCCTGGATTGTTATGAGGGCAACAGCTGGTGGTGAGAATTGGTCCGAGAACCTGATACGTCCATGCACGCGCGACTCAATCCATACATAGCGTAGCTAGACATAACTAACATACCAGAGTTGGCCGCTATCGCCATAAGCCGTTTGGTGAGGCGCGGTGCTGCCAGCGTGTACAAATACATCAAGTCACCACAAGATGCTATCCGCTTCCCATCAAATAGAAGCGTAGCCCCACTTCGCAAGAGAGCTATTGGCTCCTGGAGATGTCTCGAAATTGTCAATTGGGGCGTTCGATGACCTAGAGCGATTTCGCGTACTGCTTGACCCATCACAACTTGGGGTTCGGAGCTAGTGCTGGTACGAGACGCCATCGCACCCTGGTAGCAAATGGGCGGGTTCAAGGGTGGGAGGTGGAAAGGGGAATCAGGAGGATGAAGAATGAAAGTGAGATGGTTCTCGCGAGAATGGGTGGTGAGTTTGAAGAAGGGTGAATGAAAGGGGCAGCACAAGGGAGGTTGAATGAAAGTGGGATGGCGAGGGATAAAAAACGACTAGTGAGGGAGAATGAACGGGGCAGGCCGTGCGGGTGGATAATGAACGTGGAGATCGAGGGTGTGAGAATAAGAGGGGCAGATCATGGGGGGGAGGATGAATGGGGGAGATCGATGGTGTGAGAAGGAAAGAGCAGGTCATGGGAGGGAGAATGAAGGGGGCAGGTCGTGGGAGGGAGAATGAATGGGGCAGGTCGTTGGAGGGAGAGTGAATGGGGCAGGTCGTGGGAGGGGAATGGTAGGGAGAGCCCGTGGGTGTGAGTAGGAAAGACGCAGGTCATGGGAGGTGGTATGAACGGGGGACACCGAGGATGTGAGAATGAGAGGGGTTGGTCATGGAGGGGAGGATGAAAGGGGCCCGGTCGCAGGGAGGGAGAATGTAAAGGGCCAGTCATGGGAGGGAGAATGCACGGGGGAGATCGAAGGTGTGAACATGAAAAACTGGGGGGGAGGATGATTGGGAGAGATCGAGGGTGTGAGAATGAGGGACGCATGTCATGGGAGGGTGAATGAATGGGAGAGTGGAAGGGAGGGAGGGGTTGCCGGTATGTTACAAGGAGACCACCCTGTGACGGAGGGAAGATGAAATGGGCAGGTGGGAAATGGGGCTATGCTAGATCTGGGAGGGTAATGAAGTGGAGCATGATAGGGGAAAATAAGGTGAGAAGGGAGAGTTTTGATGGGGTGGATGACAGGGGAAGCTTGATGGGGGGAGCATGATAGGTGGAGCTGGACTGTTGGATGTTGATAGGGGGAGCTCTACGGGGGGAGAATGGTAGGGGCAGTTCGATGGGAAGGGGGGGGGTGATAGGGAGTGCTTGATGGGGGGAGCATGATAGGTGGAGCTGGACTGATGGATAATGATAGGGGGAGTTCTACGGGGGAAGAATGGTAGGGGGGAGTTCGATGGGGGGGGATGATAGGCGGAGCTCGATTGGGGGAGCATGATAGGGGGAGCCGGATGGGGGGAGAATGATAGGGGCTTTGTTCGAAGGGGAGAGAATTATATATAGAGCTCGATGGGGGGAGAATGCAATGGAGTGCTGATTGGGGGGGGGGGGGTAAAGGGGAGGTTGATGGGCGGAGAATGATGGGGGAGAATGATGGGGGGAGTTCGATGGGGGGGGAACTATAGGGGGAGCTCGATGGGGGGGGGAATGATAGGGGGGGTTTGATTGGGGGAGAGAGATAGTGGGGGCTGGATGGGGGGAGAGAGTAAGGGGGAGGTCGATGGGGGGAGCTCTACGGGGGGAGAATGGTAGGGGCAGTTCGATTGGGGGGGGTGGATGATAGGGAGAGCTTGATGGGGGGAGCATGATAGGTGGAGCTCCCTGATGGATAATGATAGGGGGAGCTCTACGGGGGAAGAATGGTAGGGGGGAGTTCGATGGGGGGGGGGATGATAGGCGGAGCTCGATTGGGGGAGCATGATAGGGGGAGCTGGATGGGGGGAGAATGATAGGGGCTTTGTTCGATGGGGAGAGAATTGTATCTAGAGCTCAATGGGGGGAGAATGCAAGGGGGTGCTGGATGGGGGGGGGGGTATAGGGGAGGTCGATGGGCGGAGATTGATGGGGGGAGCTCTATGGGGGCGAATGATGGGGGGAGTTCGATGGGGGGAGAACTATAGGGGGTGCTCGATGGGGGGAGAATGATAGGGGGAGTTTGAAAGAGGGGAAAGAGATAGGGGCGGGCTGGATGAGGGGAGAGAGTAAAGGGGAGGTCGATGGGGGGAGCTCTATGGGGGGAGAATGGTAGGGGCAGTTCGATTGGGGGGGGGTGGATGATAGGGAGAGCTTGATGGGGGGAGCATGATAGGGGGAGCTGCCTGGGGGGAGAATGATAGGGGCTTTGTTCGATGGGGGAGAATTATATCTAGAGCTCGATGGGGGGAGACTGAATTGGAGAGCTTGATGGGGGGAGCATGATAGGTGGAGCTGGACTGATGGATAATGTTTGGGGGAACTCTACGGGGGAAGAATGGTAGGGGGGAGTTCGATGGGGGGGGGGATGATAGGCGGAGCTCGTTTGGGGGAGCATGATAAGGGGAGCTGCCTGGGGGGAGAATGATAGGGGGAGCTCGATGGGGGGAGAGAGTAAAGGGAAGGTCGATGGGGGGGAAGGGTAAAGGGGATGACAGGGATAGCATGGGGAATGGAGGATGACAGGGGTAGCATGGGGAAGAGAGGATGACAGGGGTAGAATGGGGAAGGAGTGGGGGATTTCAGGGGTGGGAGTGGGGGATTGGACGGGATGGAGGGGGGGATTGGACGGGATGGAGGGGGGGATTGGACAGGGGGAAGTGGGGGATTGGACGGGGGAGATGAGATGAAAGGGGGAGATCCAGGGCGCGGGGATGTAACGGGGGAGTGAATGCGACGGTGCGAGTGTGGCGTGACGAACTAAGCGGCGCAATTGTGGCGTAGGAATGGGGCAGGTCATGGGAGAGGGAATGATAACCCTAAATCGAGGGTGTTAGAATGGAAGGGGCATGTCGCGGGGGGTAGAATGAATGGGGGTGCCCTTGGGCGTGAGATTGAAAGGGGCAGGTCGTCGGGGGGGGAATGAATTGGGGAGCCCGATGGTGAGAGACTGACCGGGGCAGGTCGTGGGAGGGGGGGGGGAGGGGGGGGGGGGGGTTGGCGCAATGAATGGGGGAGCCAGAGGTAGTGATATGGAAAGGGGCAGGTCGTCTCGGTCATCCGTATGCACGAATCCTAACAGCGAATGCGTGTGTGCGGAGAGGCTAACGCGTTTGTGCGGAAAGGCGAATGCGTGTGTGAGAAGAGGCAAATGCGTGTGTGCGGAGGGGCGAATGCGTGTGTGCGGAGAGGTGAATGCGTGTGTGCGGAGGGGTGAATGCGTGTGTGCGGAGCGGCGAATGCGTGTGCGCGGATTGGCGAA